CCTTCTAGGCCCGAAACGTCAGCCTTTCTGCTCCTATGATGCTGCTTGGCCTGCTGTGTTCGTCCAGCCCTGCACCTTGTTGTCTCGGATTCTCCAGCATCTACAGTTCCTACTATCTCTGGTCTGCTTTAAGGATGGGTACTGGCTGCTGATGCTTGATCATGGATGGTTTTGGACATGTTATGTTTTGGGTGATATGGGTGGTTTATGGCCTGTTGCTTTTCTGTTTTTCAGGTGGCACATCCTCCTGGATACCCATTGTTCACTGTCCTGGCTAGGCTGGCAATGACCATTCTTCCACTAGGCTCCCCTGTTTTCAGAGTTAATGTTTTAAATGCTATGTTGGGAGCAGCTACAGCCCCATTAATCTTTGAGACAGCTGGTAGGTGAGTCCAACATAGGAAACAGGATCCTACTCTATCTCTACAGACACTCCTATCAAAGTTTCAGAGACAGGGTATCTGATACTCTGGGGTCATTCAGCTCCTCTGACTTATTCCACCATTCCATTCAATTGTAAGTGAGCAGTATCTGAATTCTGTCAACCAACCTGGGTTTCAGAACCCTTGATTTGCTTACCCAATACACAGCTGTCAATCTCAATTTGAAATTGTTAATTGACTCTAGATGCAATACCCTGTTATTGGGGTAAAGTTCCAAATTTTCAGGAAGTATTAAAAGTCTGGCAAGAGCCTAAGTAACAGTTAGATCTTTACCAAAAATAAAGTTAATGTGAGGAATGTGTCCTGATTGGCTCCTTGTTCTAGGTTCCATTCTTAATGCAATAAACTTAATTTAACCATAAGCATCTCAATTAAATCATCTTTTAATCTTCTGTAATTAAGGGAATATAAATCCAGTCTAAATAGCTGTCCTCATGACTGAATCCCTTTGACACTGATGTATTGTTTGTTGAATCATTCTTGAGGTGGATGAACTGTTATTTTAAAGGTACTATATAAATACATGGCCACTTCGACCTTCCTGAGTTGGGATACTCTGAACTAAATGCATTACTTCTGACGTGTTGTATTTGAGCTTTATAGAACTACTACATTATTCCAGTCCCCTTCAGCTTAATGCCAACATTGAATTCAGAAATTATTTTTGTGCCTGTCTACAAGCTTGTGATTTTTTTTTTTGTACTCAAATTCCCAAATCTTTCTGCTCCTGCACTGTTTCATCTTTCTGCTCCTGCACTGTTTCATCTTTCTTGCTAGATAGAAAATTGATTCAAATTTTCTGGGTCCAGATTAGATGACCTCTCTCTTTTTTTCCTCATTGAACCGCATCTGCCAAAGTTTTATGCACTCACTGAATCTTTCAATGTCACTTTGCCACTCCTGGTTCCCATCTACATAATTAATAAACACAAAAGCAAAATATTCTGGATGCTAAATATCTAAAGTAGAAACTGAAAATTCTAGATATACACAGCCAGCTGCGATTGATCCAGGAAGACCCCAGTGCTATCAGCTTATGTGTAAAATGACTTGGCTGCAGACAAATATTTGTGAAGTCTGTGAACAATTCATTTTCATGAATTGAACAGTTATTCTGCCAAAGTACTTTTAAGATCATAATCTGCAGATTTATTTTTGTCAGGGCTGGACATTGTGTGTTTGTATGTTATATTTTGAGAAGGGTTACAAACTTTTGCTAATAAACTAGTTATTCATTTCTTACTTAAGGGATCTAACTGGATTGTTTCTGATACTGCCATTGCAGTTCACTATCACCTCTCTCTTTAAATTTAAACTTTGTTGCACCCAGTAGGGAAGGGGAAGAGAAATAGAATCCATTCACTGCTCTAAATTGGGTTGTGTATAGACAGAGCCTCAGAGAATGGCGCAATCAGGGTTTAGCTGTCCCTTTGAGAGAAAATAAGAAAACAAACTTAATGTTTTGTGAATTACAATAATGAAGTCATTAAAGGGTATGAGAGTTGCAACAGATCAGGACCTATCTTTTGGTGTCCTTCCAACTTTTTTTGCTAAAGATCTAACTGTTACTTAGGCTTTTGTCAGACTTCTAATATTTCTTGCACTTTCTCTTTCAACACCCTTTCCCCATCTCTTCCCCACACCCTGACTGCTCACTAGCCAACCAGCAGAGGTCACTCATTGGTGATCAGATGCTTTTAATCAAACTCAAGAAATCACACCACACCAGGTTATAGTCTAACGGGTTTATTTGAAAACACAAGCTTTCGAATCCTCGCTCCTTCTAACACCAGAAGGAGTGAGGCTATGAAAACTTGTATTTTCACATTAACCTCTTGGATTATAACCTGGTGTTGTGTGATTGCTGACCTTGTCCACTCCAGTCCAACACTGGCACCCCCACTTCATTTAATCAAACTGGCATAATCCAGTGGGTTTAGTAAGATGTCAGTGTTAGCGAAACTGGGTGATTATCCATTATGGTGAATGGGGGTGCAGTTATGGGCGTGCATTGCTTTTTAGCATAATTGAATCATTTTAAATTGCACTGGCTGTGTGATCAATGATTTTAGCAAATGACAGCTGATTCTCTTTTTGCTCATTGTGATTAGTTTTTGTTAAAGTCATGGAAATAACATTTTTGTCATGGAAAATGTCACAATAGGGAATAAATGGAATCGAGCTACCAATCACCCATCATCTGTTAGAACAGTGGTTCAGGCATGATTGGGCTGAGTGGCCTTGTTCCTGTTTCTGATATCCCATTCCATATGTTTCAGGTTGTCAGATTCGTACACTGGAGGAATTCTTGCTGCTGGCCTCTTTGGCTTTTCTCGGTTGGCATGGCAGTGGTCTGTTGCAGCTGAGGTTTTCACCTTGAACAATTTTTTTGTTAGCCTTCTCATGGTCCTGACGGTTCGATTCAGTACAGCAGCAACAGCACAGGAAAGGTCAAAGGTATATTCTGTTGCTTGCTTTCCCCATAAACAACAAACAATGTGTCGCAGGGGATTGACTGAGAAGGTTTGTTGCAAGCCTGGCTTCAAATCACAAACTCAGGTGTGTTGTTTATTGTGAAGTAGATTAGGAAAGACTCCAGTCGAGCAATGGGTTAACAAAAGAACAGTTGCATTAATTTATTTAGACTTTTGACAAAAATTGATTTAAATATCATCATCCAATCCTTAGACCCCAATATCATTGCTCACTAGTTGCATGGCGATCTGATAAAAGTTGATAACATTGAGTGCCTACCAGCCTCTCTTATATATACATATGAGATGTATATTAATATATATATTATATAGAATCCCTACAGTGTGGAAACAGGCCATTTGGCCCAACAAGTCCACACTGACCCTCAGAGCAACCCACCCAGACCCATCCCCCTATAACCCACCTAATCTACACATCCCTGAACACTACGGGCAATTTAGCATGGCCAATCCACCTAGCCTGCACACCTTTGGACTGTGGGAGGAAACTGGAGGAAACCCACGCAGACATGGGGAGAATGTGCAGACTCCACACAGACAGTCGCTGGAGGGTGGAATTGAACTCGGGTCCCTGGCACTGTGAGGCAGCAGTGCTAAACACTGAGCCACTGTGCTGCCCCATCACATTAGTTCAGTGAACACTACCTTGATACCCACAAAATTGCCCTGAAGAGCTTTCATGCCCATATTGGTGCAGTGTGCTATTTTTAAATATTCATTGGTGGGATGTGAGTGTCAGTAGCTCAGCCAGTCTTTATTGCCATTTCTAAATCCCCAGAGGGAAGTTAAGAGTCAGCCACATTGCTATGGATCTGGAGTCACATGTAGGTCAGACTGGGTAAGGACAGCAGTTTCCTTTCCTAAAGACCATTAGTGGACCAAATGGGTTTTTTGACAATCAACAATGGCTTCGTAGTTATTGTGAAACTCTTAATTACATATTTTTGTTGAATTCACATTCCAGTATCTGTCATGGCAGAATTTGAACCCCAGTCCCCCAGACCATTACCTGGGTCCCTGGATTAATAATCTAGTGTTACTACCACTTGGCCATTGCTTCCCGCTACGGACTCTCTACCCTCAAGGAAACCCTACCACATAGCAAATATTGTTTACTGATCTTGTACATTCTTTCTGTTGTATTGTAATCATGTTTCCTCTAGCAAACAGTTTGCCACATTGCTGCAGATTTGCTTTTGGGGCAAACCTCACTTGGAGATACTTGAAAGCCTGATGCTGTAATAATCTTAACTGTTGCAGGAAGATCCACCTTCCTTCCAGTTTTTTTTTGTTGTTGACCATCTTGCAGCAGAGAGCATTAACGTGTGCAGCTAAAGTGGCATGTGTGGGAGATATAAGCCAAATCCCAACACAGTGACAGGTCAATGTCACTGCATTTGTTGTCCCCTTAAATTTGTCCACTATTTCATGGGCAACTTTTTTATAACTACCCCCACTTCTCCTTGCCCCTCCCCCGATCATATCAGTAGAAGGACCATTGTCAAAGAGAGAACAAGCAGGAATAATTAACAACTTGTGTTTTTATTGAGACTTTAATATGCAATTAACAACAATTCCTTGGATATGGACTTGGAACAGAGAAACTAGAAGACCTGATTGGTAGGATTGAACTGGAGGGAAATAGGCGGAAATACAGTGATAGTTTAAGAAGCAGAACAGGGATAAAATTTGAGAACAATATCAGGAGATTGGCGGTTAGTAAAGACCATAAAGTTTGAAGAGCAGTGATCATCAATGTTGCAAAACATGGTGCCTGAAAAAGATCAACTTAATAAAATATCTCAATACTCTTTACAGAAGTATGATAAAACACTAAGCCACATAAGATGATTTTAGGTCATTTCACCAAAGGTTTAGCCAAGGAAGGAGGTTGTAAGGACTGTCTTAAAGGAGGAGAGTGAGGTAGAGAGGGACGATGTGTACTGCAAGAATTCCAGAGCTTGAAGCCAAGACATCTGACAAAGGAGCAATTAAAATCAGATGAACAAACAAGCAGAATTAGGTGGACATAGCTATCTTGAGGGTTGTGATTTTGGAGAATAGTACAGAGATGGGAATGGACGAGTTGTTGAAGGATTTGAAAACAAGGATGAGAATTTTAAAATTAAGATGCTGTTTGATCAGGAATCAATATATGTTAGTGAACACCAATGTGCCTTGAGGAAAATAGAGAGGATGACCCAGTAAAACCAACAACATTCTGGGGTAAATTGTAAGCTAGCGCAATAGTAGCCCAACCAGACAAAACTCGAAGCCTTCTTCTATTTTTGAGGCTCTCACACACATGTGCCAGATCTGTTTCAGTCGAGCTCAGCCTGATGATTATAGCACAGTGCAGAGTCCTGTAAGGGGATTTAAATATTTTTAAAATTGGAAGCCCTGCTTTGTTATTGGTTAGAAAATCAGATCTCTTGCCAACGTACTCAGTTTCAACCCATAAGTGGCCTCTGACATTCCCATGGCACATATGACAGTGTTTTGTTGTGGTGGTTGGGATTAAATACCAGACAGGAGGTTGCCTGTCTTCCTGCTAATATTTCTAACTCATGTGGAAGGCTCTGCACTCAATCTGATACATTGTTTCAAATTGTAGCTTTCTCTGTTGGGAGCATTCAGTTGTGGCTTGAGTCTGTGTAACCAGCATACCATCGTTCTCTATGTGATGTGCATCGTGCCCTGGGTGTTGTTTAGACTACAAAGAGAGAAGGTAAAATGCCAACCAAGTTTCAGCTTCTCATATTCACCAACTGTTGTTCATTTTCACCTTCCCTCAAGACATCGATCTTTTCCACTTCGTTTCCTTCCTGCATTGTCATTTCATTCTTCTGTTCCCGCACACTCGTACACTCTCTCTTCTCTCCCTCCCTAATTTTCATGTCTCTCCGCTTGTTCCCCTTCTCTTTTAACCTCTCACCCTCTCTTTCTCTCTAACCTTGTCCTACACAATGCTCTTTCTAACCTCTGTCCTGATAACTCTCTTTCTCTTAACCTTTCTCCTCTTCCTTTGACTTTTTCAGACTTTCTCTTTCCCCCACTTCTCTCCTGTGTGCATTTATTTCTGTTTCTCTGTCCAGCTGATGTATATACTACTCTCCCATCTTGGTTCTGTTGTTCTATCTTTGTTCTGACTCTATGACAGAATCACAAATATACCATTGTGCTTCGCTGTCTTGATGTGCAGGAGATATCTGTGAGGACCATGCTGAAGTTAGGCCTGTGTTTTGGAGCTGGTCTGCTGCCTTATCTTTATCTGCCCGTTTCATCTTACCTGAATCGAGCACGTTGGAGCTGGGGAGACCAGACCACTTGGAGAGGCTTCACCACTCACCTGCTGCGAGAGGAATATGGCACATTCAATTTGGTAAAGTCTAAAATGTAAAGTTTCATGCTGAGCTTCAGGAATTAGAGTGTTGAGCTTTGACACTTGGAGAAAACGACAGAGGTTTGTGGGTATTATCCGGTGTCCGAAATTTAAGAAGTAAAGTGTCCAAATCCCCTGTACAAGTAAACCTTCCTTTTCAGTATTTGTGTATATTATGCTGGTCAGGAGCTGTCATTGGTTTTTCAGTCCTCCCTGTAGTTACCACTTCCTCATACCTGTATCTGATAAACTTCGCAAAACAGTAACACCGACTCTAATTCGTTCTTCCTCAAAATAAAAGCATTGTTCCTCTCCCCACTGCCTGCTGCTCCCTTGCTCATTTGCACACTCAAACCCCTAACCTTTCTATCCTTGACCCATCCTGCAATCTCCAACTATAATACCTGAGCCACCACTGCGTTTACCTCATCTGTTCTCCAAAACATCTTTGCCTTGCACTATTTTTGGGGTGATGGCAGCTACTAGAAATAGGGAATTGGACAGGGTCATGGCACCCACTGGCAGGAGGGGATTGGACAGGGTAACCAGGTGTTCCTCTGTTCTCAGAATCTCTGAAGACTGAATTGTTTTTAATTCTGTTTGTTCAGACAAGTTGAAAATGTTTCCTGAAAGACTTTGTTTTTTCTAGGCTAAATCGGACTCTGGTTCTGGACTGCTGCAAGTATTGTGGTGAGCAACAACTGATTGTACCCAGTGCCCTCAACAAAAGCTGTGGTGCAATTTGCTTAGAGAAACAGAAATTGCTGGAGAAGCTCAGCAGGTCTGGCAATGTCTGAGGAGAGAAAGCAGAGTTAACATTTTGAGGCCAGTGACCCTTCTTCAGGACAAATTCAAACGCTGCCGCACCTGCTGAATTTCTGCAGCAATTTCTGTTTTTTGTTTCAGATCTTCAGCATCTGCATTTCTTTGTTTTATTTTAGTGTAATTTGCTTAGTCTGCCTCCCCAGTCACCATATTAGGCCCTGGGTGAATCATGCTGCTCAGTTTATAAACCGTCTACATATTTACGTTCTTCATTATAATTATTTGGAAAAATCTCCAGCAAGTATTACCAATGCTTGGACTTTGATAGGTCCATAAAATAAATATGTATTTAAAATAATTCCAAATGCTAAAAAATCAAAAATATTGCTTTTCCCACCCAACTCCCATCCTTGTTTCAAGAACACACATCAGGAGAAAGGGATTGAATCGGGAACAGCACCCATTGGTGTATTGACCTTTGTATTCTCTCCAAAACACATGCTATTCTGGTAGCAGGTGCTTTTCGTTTTGATTGAAGCACTTTGCAGTGCATTCATTTGATGATTGCCAGAGGATAGATATTTTCTGATGAACCTGTTCAAAGATGTTGTTATCACCTCAGCAGCAGGTATGTCTTGAACCTGGGCCTCTTGGCTCACAGATAGGGACACTAACACTGTGCTGTAAGAATACTTGCTGCCTGAACATGAAAAGAGCTGTATGAATTCAGGGAACTGATTGACAGGGCAGGTTGTGCATTGATTTACTGAGCAGAATATCTAAGGAGAAGTAGGGAAGGAATCTTAATAAATTAATTTTTTGCAGAACTAATTTCTGGACCTTTCTGTTCACAACAGTTTTCAGATGGCACAAATGAAGAATGAACTTTCAACAATTGGAGCAACCTTGGCACTCACTGCCATCCCACTGCAGGGCTTTAAAAGGTATAAACTAGAGCTCCCAGCGCACATGATAAATGTACTATCTAAGTACTCTGTGACACATTCTCCGCTCTAACAGGGTGATGATAGCTGTAGCTTAATTTATAACCTCCGGTTGGGAAATCATTTGATGTGGGTGAGAAATCGATACCTTTTTATTCTTATGCCCACATGAGTGAAAGTGGTTTTGTAAAGGAAAATCATGAGGGTGCCTCTGGCACCACTGATACCAGTGACTCTCACTTTAAGCCTTCTGGCCTGTACATAAGCTCTATATATAAAGCTCACTTCTAGAGCTATGCATCTCGTACATTGGGTCACACTGTGAACAACAAGCAGTAAGATAAAGATCAAAAGAAAATTGCTGCACATGCTGATAATTTGAACTAAATACAAAATACTCAGCAGGTCACATTGCAGTTGTAAATAGAGAAATAGAGTTAATGTTTCAGATCAATAATCTTTGCCAGAAGTGGAAAACAGTACAGGTGTCACTGGTTTTAAACAAGTAAAGCTTAACATTTGCAAGGTAGGAGTGGTTAAATGATAGAAAGAATTGTGCTGTAGAGAAAAGGCGATAGGAATGTGACGTGAAGAAAGAAAAGATGAGTTTGAGAGGAAGTCTGAATCGGAGAAGCAGCATCATTGCTAAGATGCTGTCTGAAAAAGTGTTAGCAGTGATCATGACCTGAACTCCACATTAAGTCTGCAGTGTGCCTAATTGAAAAATAAGGCGCTGCTTCTGTATCATCCATTGAAGTTCATTGAAACAGGGCAGGTGGCCGAGCTCCGAGGAAGAGTAAAGAATTAAAATTATCGGTGATTGTAAGTTCAAGGTCATTCTTGTGGACTGAAAGACTCTGTCTATGAAGTAGTCATCCAATTTGCAATTGATCTATCCAGTGTAAAGTGGACAGCACGGTGAGCTGCAAATACTGTGCATCTACTTGAAAGAAGTAGCAGTAATTTCTTGTTACACCTGAAAGGAGATCTGTCCTAGATCTTGACAGTGGGAAGAAAGGAGATAAAATGGTCACTGTTACATCTCCTGCGCTTGCATGAGAAGTCACGCAGGTGTGGGAGTGATTTGAAGAGTAGATTAGGCTTTTGGGGATGCAATGGCTGCTTTACAGTGATGAAAAGAGATGGAAATATGTACTTACTGGCATCTAAAGATCAGTAATACTGCACACTTATGATTTGATTTGCATGGCCCTTATGGGCTTCAAAATCTGTAGTGTCCTTACCATGTGTGTCTCCATTCAATGAAATATTGACTTGGTTTGACGGTTAGTCATTTGTCTGATTAGTTATATTGGTAGATCTGTGGTGGTTCGTCTTACAACAGGTGTTTGTGTTGAGGATTATGATTGGTATATATTTGCAGGAACTTTCCTCAGCGTTCAGTGTTGTGGCTGTTCACTGTCATGCTCTGCTCCTATTCCTTGTTCTTTTCCTGGAGAGCAAACCTGGACATCAGCAAACCCCTGTTTGTTGGAGTGGTGAGTGTCCCATAATATTAGTTGATCTGATTTGACAATGTGATGATCATTGTTAAATGTGTGGTGAATTCATGGGTTGCACCTCCTGTTGATTTACACACTATAAGCTACACACAGCATATGTCATTTAGGTTTTTCTGAAATGGATATACAAATTTTCCAATCTGATGAGCAGACATCTTAATGAAGCACGTCAGCTTCTTCCTTAATACAGACGCAATGTGGACCCAGAAAAGAATCAGTTGAAAGGACAGTGTGAAAGACTTGCTTGTGGGAACAGGCAAGTGCTTCAGCTCAGATGCCGCTCTGTCACTGAGACATATAGATTCCAGGCCAAACTGCGGGGATGAAAGTCACCATATGGGTTTCCCTCTGAGGGACATGGCAGTGACATATGCTGAAATTTCCGTTGTGATTAGAAAGATCAGCACAGATGATAGTTGCCATCAGCCCTCCGTAGAACTCCCAATATCCAACTGCTCTTCAAATGATCAGAGTCTTTGTTTTTATTCCCATAGCCAGATTGGAGATATTCACTCTGTAAGGAGAAGAATTTTCCAATGTTGCTGATTTGTACCTCATTTCCCCTGTTCTGCACACATGGGTTGAAGTATTGTGGTGACTCGGGGTTAACCTCAATATGCAGAATATGTTAATTCAGTTCTCACCAACCTGCCACTATCTGCTGTCAAGGCTGAAGGTTCTGTGTTTTTTTTAAGCACTTCCTCATTACTCAGTTCCTCTTGATATAGTCTGGAAAGCTGGTTGATGAAAGATTGAATTAGATCCAATCTTTAGTCTTTCATTTATTTAGAGTTAAACAAATAGAAGCATACATCTCCTAACTCAGAAATACCACTATTTTAATAAGTGTCCAATTAATGACTGTGTGTCTACAAGCAAATACAATTTTTTTTTTTAAAAAGCTGGCAATGCTGGAAATCAGAAACAAAAGCAGAAATTGCTGAAAAAACTCAAAAGCAGGTCTGGCAGCATCTGCAGAGAGGAAGCAGAGTTAACGTTTCAGATCCAGTGACCCTTCTTCAGAACATATAATTTAAAAAAAGTGCACACTATTACACTCAGTCATTACTGATGCTTCAGACGTTTACTTTAATGGCCAAAGCTGAAAACATTCCTGTCAGTACCTGCCTCAGGAAGACAAACTGCTAGAGAACCTTAGCAGGTCTGGCAACATCTGTGAACAGAAAAGTAGTTAACGTTTCAAGTCCAATATTACTCCTTTGTGGCACTTGTTAATTGTTGCTGTGTAGTGAGTGTGCCAGAAATGTTCCTACCACAGTAGATGCTGATGAGTGAAGTTCAGAAACAATTTTTGGGATGGAGTTAAGGTCATAGCATCTAACCAGTTAGGAATATAATAACGATGACCAGTGTTCTCTTCCCTGTGGAATGATCATGATAAACTGGGATATGGAAAGCAGAATTACGGTTCCCCATACTCTGAAGAGAAAGGGAGAAGGAATTTGAGAATACAAGGGAAAATCTGGAGTGCTCTGTGAAATGACTGACGCTCGGTTATGATTTCACTAGTCTCTGATAATACCATTTGAAAACACCCTGTATTTAACTGCATGAGAGATACTGCATCACTGGCTGCCTTCTGTACGTGTAAGCATCCTATGATTTCATTTGTGTTGTTGGACATGGCACTTTGTCACTGCACAAACTACATACGCAGCTACGTACAGTGTATTTAATCAACAACAGTGGTAACTTGCACTTGTATAGTATCTTTTTGTGAAGAAAAATGTCCAAAGGAAAGAAAAGGAGCCCCCAGACAAAGCAAGGGATATTAGGAGGAGTGACCAAAAGTTTGATCAACAAGACTGGTGTAAAGGAAAGGGAAGTGTAAAGGATTGAGGGAGGGATCTAGACAAAGCATATTTGCCAGTAGTGGGTTACAGGAGCATGAAGGTTGGACAAAAGATTAGAAAGAAAGTCAGAGAGATGGGGTCGAGAGAGGATTGGAAGGGGTTTTGGGAATTATTTTTATGGTAACATAGAAAGCCTTTTGTGATATTTAAGAATGGTTTTGTGCAGTGACAGGGGTAGAAATCTGATTAGAAGGATTTATACCTGAGATTACAGGAAAAATGGGCACAGATTTGAGACGGGTCAACACAATCGTAAATATGGAGGATAAAGGGAGGTTCGAATGGTGTGGGAGTATTAACAGAAATGTTGGTCATAAAACATAACCTGCTTGTTCTCTTAGACTTCTGGGTCTTGGCAACATTGTACCAATAGTATAAATTGCCAGTAAAAATTGAGATATCATTTACTTTCATTTCTGTTAATTGTATTTCTGCAGATTGAAAGGTTCTGGCTACAGAGCAATTTGGTGGTTTGTGTCCTGGCAGGCTGTGGTCTAGCTTCAGTCTCCTCAGTATTACGGAGAATAATGGGTAATAATGCACTGTGGTGCTGGGCAGAGTGGCTCTTTGTCATCAGCCTCGTTGCCTTTCAAATCCATCTGAACTACAGGTGAGCAATAATTTTCAAATCATTTGCCTGTAGATGGTGATAATCCATGTCAGCTTGGATCAATTGCAGTATTCTGCTCTCTGGGTCAGAGATTGTAGTTACAAGTCCACTCTGACAGGCTAGAGAATAAAATACTCCTAAATGTTGCCATGTTGGATGTGCCTATTTTGTTTGATATGTTAAACTGATGCCCTGTCTGCCCTTTTGTGCCCTTTCAGAAAATAAATATCCCCCAAGCAAGGATCTTGTGGCCAATATGAGGGCACTCTCTTGGTGTCTGGTTTATATCATATCTAATGCCAGCAGAACAGATGATGTGGTTGTTACTTCATTGTTATTTGTAGGACAATCTGTGTGTAATTTTCCTGCCAGATTTTCATACGAAACAAGTGACAATGTACAGTCATTAATTGTGAAGTACTTTGGCAACCGGAAAACCCAAACAGTAAATGCAACTACAAGCATCTTTCTCCTCTTTTCATTTTTTCTTGAGGAACTGGAACAATGGATCAAACCTCATAGTGAAACAATTAAACAAGGACTCCAGATGTGTGAAAGAGAGGATGGGCAAAATCCAGTGAAGTTATGACATTTGAATTTGGTTTTAAAAGCCTGAAGAATACTGGAGGCAAAGACTGAGATGTGAGGAGGTCCGTGCAGAATAACAATGAGTTAGAGGAGAAAATGCTGTGAGAAGCCTGTCAAGACTAACAGGGAATGGCGATATAGAGATTGGGACTGTACTTGAAACTTGGAGGATTGAGTGAAGGTCAGGGAGAATTTCTGAGCCATGCAGTGGTGATTGTTTTCTTGTATTTCATATCAAATAAACCGGTTTACAATTTTATATTCCGGTATTTTGAAAATGCCCCCATTTAAGGAGCTGCCTGGATCTCATTCCACCAGAGGCATAAGCATTGAGACTTGGAAAATAATGAATTTATGAATTATGAAATAAGTGACAATGTACATCTATAGCAAGAGTAAAAGTCTTGGATACAATGAATAAGAAGTGGGTGAAGTTAATTGTGAAAGCAATATTTTGTTCATTCTTGTATTTTGTAGATCAGAGTCCACTTGCCAACCTATCGGCATTCTCCTCCCTTACACTATAAATGTTATTTTCCCTTTACATTGGTATTTGTTACGAATTGTCTTGATGTGTGCAAGATGAAAAGCTTTGACAAATGTCACTTTTCAGCCGTATGAGGATTCACAGTCTAAGGATTCGGGGTAGACCATTTAGGACGGAGATGAGGATACATTTCTTCAGAGTGGTGAGCCTGAGGAATTCATTACCACAGGAAACAGTTGATGCCAAAACATTGAATGTATTCAAGAGGTGACTAGATATAGCACTTGGGATGAATGGGATCAAAGGTTATGGGGAGAAAGCAGCATTAGGCTGTTGAGTTGGACGATCAGCCACAATTATGATGAATGACTGAGCCTGCTCAAAGGGCTGAATGCCCTCCTGCTCCTATTTTCTGTGTTTCTATATATGTTTCTATTCCAGATCTGTGTTACCACATGACTATTTGTAAACTAAAATATATCCTTTTTATGTTATTTTGCTGGTAAGTAAACACGAGCCAAGTTAGGAGTTCAGTTTACTGACTGTTCACATCTTGCTTCTGATCATAGATAGTAGGAACTGCCAATGCTGGAGAATCTGAAATAACAAGGTGTAGAGTTGGATGAACACGGCAGGCCAAGCAGCATCAGAGGAGCAGGAAAGCTGACGTTTTGGGTCTGGACTCTTCTTCCTCGGGTCCTAGTCTCTCCTACCATTGGAAACATCTTCCCAACATCCACTGTATCCAGAGAATTTATATTGAAAGCTCTGTTCTGAAACATGAACTAATTATTTCTGATTATTTGTTCAGGATATGTGACCAAAGTAAGAATGGAGTTGTGGATAAGTTTGCCAGAAATCTGTTGGGCAGCCTGCCCCCAAATGCAACAATCCTGGTTCGTGGAGATCTCCCAGGAAATTCCCTGCGATATCTTCATTATTGTGAGGGACAAAGGGCTGACCTTAGCCTAGTGGATCAGGAGGTAACATGAAATGCATGGCACAGAAACAGGCCATTTGGCACAGCCACTCCATGCTGATGTTTATGCTCCACTCATGCCTTCCTTTATCTCATCTCATCTAAATCTACTATCATGACACTCAATTCGATTTCTCCCTCATCTGCTTGTTTCATTTCTCCTTGAATGTATTTATGCTGTTGAATATAACATACTCAGTACCTATTGTGAAACAGGATCAGAGGGGCTGACAGAATGGGAAGAGGGGAATAGTGGAGATGGGCTGCAGGATGGGAGTAGCCAGGGGTTTGAGCAAGGCAATCTAGATCGGTCCTCTCAAACTGGCAGCGGGAACATCATATTCAAAAGTTTCAAAAATATTTTCAAACCATATTTTGACGTCTCTTGAGGAAGCTATTGGATTTTCAGATTCAACTTTAACATTTGAGATCTGTGAGCCAGATAGAGTTTTCAAATCAATTGTCTAAGCAGTAACACACTGGCTGTACCATGACAATATGCCTGTTATTCCTGGGTTCAGCATGAGGGCACAATCAGTCTAGGCTACAAGCTTTGAGACAATTCAATGCAAAAATAAATAAATTTAGATTATTCAAACTCTTGGATTAACTGCCAGATAGAGGGGGGGAAAATATTTTAAGCAAAATTATGGATGTATACTTCTGCCTGCCCCCTCAATCTGTTGAATCCCTCTGCCCTGCCCACTCTGTCTGTGTAGGGTGATCACGAATCCAGCCTTGAGGAAGGATGATGGGAGGGCCAGGGGTGAGGGAGGATGGTTGCAGAGAGCTGGGATGATTCTGAACTCTGACCCCAGGGTGATTTGTTTTTCTTTGGGTGCATATTTGATATTAATCAGACCTATGCTCATTGTGTCATGTAAAATTTACTGGAAAACTGAATACAAGAGTGACCAAGGCTAGTCTTTATTGGAATAAGGAGGCCGAAGATAGTAAATGCTCTTTTCCAGTTTGTAATTAAAGCTGCTTCACAACTGGAGGAATCTGAATAAAGAATGTAACACAATGCAACTTCTCCCGCAGATGATGACGTATAATTGGTATTTACCGAAACTAGGCAAGCACCTACCACATGTCCATTTCCCAGGGAATCGCTGGAACCCCATAATCCGAAAGGATTCTGCTGGGATTGTGACATTCAACCTGCAACACCTATTCAATGAGAACAGAGAGTAAGTTTCTATACAATAATCCCAGTATGCAGTTAGTTTGCATGTATAGAGCTCAGAATCCAATCAGAACCAGTATCTCTGGAGCTGTACTTCGGTGGTTGTATAAAACTCAGTTCTCTGGTGGTTAGCTAATCATAAGGTCTAAAGTGCTAAAGTGGGCATGTTTGCTGATGATTCCACGATAGTTAGCGCCCTTCACAGCTCTTCAAATACTGAAATGATCTATATTTGTATGCAGCAAGATACAAACAACATTCAGGCTTGAACTGATAAGTGGCAAGTAACGTTCATACCAACAAGTGCCAGGTAATGACCAACTCCGAAAAGCAATCTACTTCTGACATTCAGTAGCACTACCATTACTGAATCCTTTATCAATGTCATGGGGGCTACCATTGACCAGAAACTGTACTCATCTAGCGATATAAATGTCATGGCTACAAGAGCAGTTTGGAAGCTCCAAATCTTCCAATGAGTAATTCATTTCCTGACTTCCCAAAATCTGTTCACAAGGCACAAGCCAGGAATGTGATAGGATAGTCTCCACTTTGCTGGTTGGATGCAGCTCCAACGATACTCAAGATGCTTGATACCATCCAGGACAAAGCAGCAAGCTGTATTAACACCCTATCCACCATCTTAAAGATTCACGCCGTCCATTATTGACACATTGGCAGCACTGTGTACCATCTACAACATGCACTGCAGCAACATGTTTCCTTCAATAGCACCTTTCAAACCCGTAAACTCTACTATCTAGAAGGAGAGCAGGAAATGCATGGAGACACCATCACCTGCTGGTTCCTCTTCAAGCCAAGCACTAGCTTGATATGGAACTGTTGCTGCGTTGTAACCTGGGAATTCCCTTGGTGCACTTGCACAGGTGGATTATCACCATTTCTCAAGGCAATTAGGAATGGACAATAAACCTGGCCTAGTCAGATATGCTTACATACTGTGAATGATTAAATAAATGTATAATGTATCTATTACTCTCTGCTCATAATAAATGGGGATGGTGGCAAATCTGTCCGATATTCCTCAAGTGGAAGTGTTGTCCTTTCTTGAATTTGTTGAGCCTTGATCTTAAGTTCCACTGAGTATGGCTCACCTGACAACTGTTAAACAAATCACAAGCATTGAAATGACATTGCTGCTCTTCCATTTAAACACAATGAACAAACTTCAGAGACAGAATTTTTGAGGAGTTTCTTCTTTGATCAGAGTTTTTTCTCAAGTGCTGTAACTCCAACTCCTCCAGAGGTTTCCTCTGCTGCTCCTCTAAAGACAGAAGCTATGATGGTAAAAACAGCAAGGGTAGGAGGAATGACCTGTGTTTGAAGGAGTTGGAGGAAAAGCATTGGAGAACTGGGGATTGGAAGGGGAGGACAAGGTTGTTGTGTATTCTGCACATTAAATTCACTCGGCTGTGTCTGGGAGAGGAGGGAGAATGGACCTCTTGGGGAACACTTGCCTTATGCAGATTATTTTGTAGGTTTAATGTCTAGATCTCTCAACTCTTAACCAAAAAAAAAATTCTTCCTTTCTAAAATCTTCCTTGAACCTGATTTTTCAATTTTAGGAATTATTGCTGGGTCAAGAGAGGAGTTAAATAATTTTTCTCATTGTTTTCTTCCTCTTATGTTTGCAAAATAAAGTGTTTTGAGACTGAAGTTACAGATCTGGGTCGAAGGACAAAACAGTTGTGGGGGAAATCCAGTTTCTGTTCCCCTTGGAGTTTTCTTTGAGTGTCTGAATGCAAACTTTTTTTTTGGTGGTTAGTGTGATCTCCCTGTTGAAAACGTTGTAATGCCCAGAAAAAGTTGGGCATCCAGTTGATTCAGAAGACATGGTAAATGTCTTCTGAGGAAGGGTCACCGGATCCGAAACATTAACTCTGTTTTTACCTTCACAGATGCTGCCAGACTTGCTGAGCTTTTCCAGCAATTTCTGTTTTGTTTCCTGATTTACAGCATCTGCAGTTCTTTTGTTTTTTATATGGTAAATCTTGAGTTTACTTTAATATCAGCCGTCAAAGGAGGATAATTGTGGTGTTTTCATGAGGTGGTAAATGAAGGAAAATCATTCAATTATTGTTTGGCTGCCTGCCCAGCAGTGAATGTATTGCTTCTTTAGTATCCTTTTAAGGGAGACTTTGAGTTTGCAAATTCATGCTTCGAGAACAATTTGGTTTATAACTTAAATCTCTGGATCTGAAGAGTGCCAGGAAACTAAGAAATATCCCCTGAGAAAATCAAAAAGAACATAAAGTAAATCGTTTTTACCTCTGCTTGAAGTTGGTTCCTGAAGTCTAATTTCTCTGTGTACACTGTACAACACAGACCCTTTGTGATATTGTGGGATGCAACATCTCTGCATTTTACTTCTGGCATCCAAGTAGAAATCTGTTTCGACTGTTTGTTTGGAATCTGCTGCTGGAGGTGAGTTGCTGTCAGCGACAATCCAGATAGAAATGAGGATGAAATTACAGCGAAGGAAAAGTCACCACAACTGGCTAATAATTTGTAGTGTTACTCCTGCAAGTATATCTACAAATGCACAACAATTGGACTGGTTCAGACTGCAACTTAGGCTCAATGACTAGTCCCCTACTCTGGGAATATTTTCATGGCACAGTGTAGAAGGAATTTTACTCTTTATCCAACGCTACGTTATCTCTGCCCTTGGGGACAATGCAGATGGAGCTTTATCTAATTTCATGCTGTCATGCCACTTGAAGTCTTTGGGCACTTGTTTTACAAAGTTGTGAAATGTTTCAATTAACACTAATGTTTGCCTATTAGAACAAATGTCACCAAGACTATTGAGTTCAATGTGTTTCAACTCTCAGCACTACTGAAGCTCCAAATATTTTCTTTGTAATTTCATGGCACTGATCTCTGATATTATACGATTGGGGAAACAAATGGGAGTAGAACCCCTTGTAATTGTCCTTGATTCCCAATTTCAATAGTTACAACTGATTATTTTTGTTGAAGATATGATTTTTTAAAAAAGATTAGAATTGCCTGGCTACAATGATGCACTCTCAGTTGCATGTTTTTATACGTTTTACAGCAAGCAGATCTTTGTGTGTATAGGACTGCATGAAGGAGACCCAAGCTGGAAGTACAGTTACTCTCTCTGGCCTTGGGGGGTCTGTGAGAAGCTGGTTCACTCTACCAGTCAATTCAGCCCAGAAAGTTGGATCCAACACACTAAGAACTTGTACAACTGGACAGAGGAATATGGCAGGTGAGTGTGACAGTACAGATGGGTAGTAGGGCAGGATAATGGATTAGCATGATATTAGCAAAAATTCTTTCAGATTCTGAACTAAACTGTCTATTGAGTGACCTATACCCAGTTCTGTAACATCAGTAAAACTGAGATTATTTACATTCTTGCTGGGTAAGGAGACTATTCCAATATGATTGTTCATTGCAAAATTTATCATCGTTTTCATGCTGGATTAAATAAATCAGGTAGCCAAGTATTTCCTTATCTCACCCCAGCTGCTGATTGAAACTATCAGGTTGCTATCTAAAAGTTTAGGGAAGTACTGTAGGAATTTTCTACCATTTCAACAGTTTCTCAGAAACACAATACATCTTCAAGAGCATCAATATACCATCGTTATGTTCTATAGAACTACCTGAAATTTGTGTCATGGTAAACTGTTTTTCTTCTACTCCCTGTTCTAAAACCAGTTTGTTCTTCCTGAAGTAAGATTCCACATCTTTCCATTGTCCTGTACCATGTGGTTAAAATTATTTTCAGTGTATAGTTTACCAAATAAGCCCAATGTAGTTACTGCTTTCATTTTTTTTTTGAAGGCTGGCATTACTGCCTTTCCCTCACTTCAGATGTGTGCTCTTCTTCAAGAATATTATTATTAACAAGCTTTACACTACTTTCATAGTACATGTCCTTAACTGCAGCATTCTATGGTTAAGTGATCCAAACTTAGACCCTTAAGCTTCAATAAATACCTTTTTGTACAAGTGCAAAATACTGCAGTTGCTGAAAAGTGAAAAAAGTACCAAGAATGCTGAGTAACAGGTCTGGCAATATTGTAAATAGGACTGATGGACATGTGTCCAAATTTGGTTTGGATAAAATGGCCATCCTGGAATCAATCAGTTTATCCAGAGTCCAGACTTCTGTTTGAAATGCTTTACAAGCAGCATTTTCAGCTTCTGCAGGGTCAGAGCAAAATTATGGTCAGAATCAGCATTGACTATTCCTCAGCAGAACACTGGATCAGTACCTTTTACACACTCTGATTATCAAATAGTAAAGCTCAGAGGAAAGGCCCCTCAAGTCATCAAGTCCACGTCAGTTTTTGAAAATCTGTTCAGTTAGTCCCCCATCCTGCTCTTTCTACAAAACCCTGCAGTATTTCTTTCATCAATATGCTATACAACCAAAATATGATGCATCTCTTGTCTTCACATCAGATGACAAGAAATCCACTTTTAGGCTTTCTTTGATGGAAGGCTGTCTTCACTGCTATCAAATTGTTGTGCAGGCCAAAGAAAAATCATTATTGTTCTCTCAAAATCGAAGATTAACTACAGCTCCTTACTGGATGTTTGTAAAAGTTTTGCATGTGGGTTATGGATGTCATTGTCTAGGCCAGGACTAGGGTCCATCACTAATTGGTCTGAAAAAGGTGATCTGACTTTGTGAACCACTGCAGTCCTTTAGGTCTAGGAACACCCACAGTGCTGTTAAGAAGGGAATTCAAGAGTTTTGATCCAGCAAGTGACAGAACAGCAATATAACTCGAAGCCAGGATGGTGTGTGGCATGGAAAGGAAATTTGGAGGTGGCAGTGTTCATGGTCATGGGTTTGGAAGGTGCTGTTGAAGAAGCCTTGGAATCCTGGTACAGTGCATCTTGTGGATGGTGTACAACACTACCACTGCATTTGTAGTAATGATGCATGTTAATGTTGAAGGAGGTGGATAGAGTGGAAATCAAAATGTGCTGTTTTGTCTTGGATGGCAGTGAGCTGGTGTTGTTGCAGCTGCAGTCATCCAGGCAAGCGGTAAGTATTCCCTCGTACTCCTGATTTGTGGATGACTGATAGACATTGGAGACAGGAAGCAGGTTACTTGCCACAGGATTACTAGCCTCTGACCTGTTCTTGTTACCATAAAATTTGTATCGCTGGTTCAGTTGAATTTCTAGTCAGTGATGACACTCCCAGAATGTTGATAGTGGGGGAATTCAATAATGGTGATGCCAGTTAATATCAAAAGATAATGGTTAGATTCTCAGTCCAGTTAGATCAGTGGCTACACAGCACAAGTACTATGTCCTGGAACTGTTTTTGTTCAGAGAATCTTATGGGAGTTCAGTTTCTCCGTTAGATACTGCAAGTGTTGCAAAAACAGGAATGGGACATTGCAAAGTCTTGACCGGGCAAGTCATGTAAGGATGTGGGCTATGCAGGGCAAGGATGTGGCAATGCTGTAGTGAACAGATGTTTATGTCTTACAGGTTTGACCCAGCTTCTTGGGAAGCTATCGCAAATGAAGAAATGTGGCAAGCAAGGTAACTCGGCATCTCCCAGATATTGGAACTAGGGTTGGCATTGTCTTCAGTTACACAGAAATGTTAATAAACATCGCTCTTTATAATGTTCTTGTCCCTTTTTCTTCATGCTCTGCTATTCCTCCTGGCTGGCTTTCTATCCTACCCCTAATTCTGTTGCACCCCTTCTCCTGGCTGCTTCCCCCAAAACCTATCCATCTGTCATCTTGGCTGTCTCTCTTTGGTTAGAAAGGCAAATGGTGTAACCTTATTGCATTCGAGTTGGTGTATAAGTAAGTCTTACTGCAATTACATGGGGTTTTGATGAGGCCACATCTGGAATTCTGCATACTTTGATATCCTTACATAATGATATAGCTGCCCGGGAATGGTGCAATTAAAGTTGACTGTATTTTATTCCTAGGATTACTAGTTTAATGCTATAAAGAGAGATTGAGAATTAGGCCTATACTCTTTGGGTGTTAGAATGACAGAATGAACTCGCCCAAAATCAGGAAATGCTCACTATCAATTTCTGATATTACTTTGTCTTTACTGTCAGAAATTATGAAATTGCAGTCACTGTACAGTTCTCATTAAAAGATACAAGGGGTCAGCTATTTGAAACTGAAGATTTTTCTTCACTGAGGGTTGTGAATCTTTGGAATTCTGTGGATGTCCCAGTCAGTTCATATATAAAAGCATGCTCACTGGGTCCACTCTTCAATCAAAAGGGCTAATGGAATGTAAGCCTTTTTTTACATCTAAAGGACTAAAACATGAAGTAGATAAAGTTGCACTACAGGTATACAAAATCCAGGTTAGTATATACTCAGAGTCTCTGTACAGTTCTGGAAATGCATTTTAACATATAATCTTGGGAATGCAGCATAATTCACTAGAATATTCCAGGGTTCCAACAGTTAGGTTACAATGAGACACTGAATAACTATTCTTATGCAGTATTTATGTTTAAGGATCTTAAAGGCGTCTTAAAGCCATTGATGAGTACAATACCTTTCCTGTTTGAACAGGGGAACAAATCCTTAACATCAGAGTCAAGCCTTTCAATAGCATGTAGAAGTGTGAAACTTCCCCCAAAATCAGGAAATGCTTGCTGTTAATTTCTGACAGATCACTTTGTGTTTAAGACCAAAAATGATGAAATTGCAGGTTCTTTTCAGTAAGGGTTTGTCTGATTTACTTATGGCATTTTGTAGGATGAAGACTCCTTTTTTCTTATTTGAGTTAGCTGAAAATCCACAACAAACAGAGGCAGTGAAGGTGCAGCTCTATGTGTTTGCCTATCAAGTGAGTCACATTTTTTTTCATCTATTATCCACTTCCCAACAGCCACGGCTCTATTTGCCTTTCCTTAGCCTACCATCTGTCATTAACCAACGGAAGTCTCAGCTCTTTTTCCAAGTCCATTTGTTTTGTTCAGTCTAATACTAATCTTTATAAATTGCTTTCTCAGTTATACAAGGAGCTAGTTACGGCAAAATCACACCCAGTTAATTGGCACAAAAATTATGCCATTGTGTGTGAGAGGATGCTGTGGCTCCCTGCACGGACTGCTGCTGGTGTGGACCCAGAATTTCTCCTGTCAGAAGCTATCAAGCATTTTTCACTCTACGTGGCCAAAGCACCAGAAGACCCTCAGAAAAGTGCCATTGTTGAGGTTATCAAACACCTACAAAAGGAACGAGTAAGAGCAGGAACCAAGTAGAAGATAAGCAGTCAGACGTTGGACTAATGTTCTCCTAAGTGATGAAGGAAATTTGCCCAATTTTGTTACTCAGCAGAGAAGTATCCTTCTGAACAATTGGCAAATACTCAAAATTGACAGACCACTTAATAAAGCCAGAAAATCTACAAGTTATGCAGCTTACTTGGTTAATGAATCCAGTCTAGTTAAGTTGCATTGCATGTGGCTGAGTGGTACCTGGATGACTGGCCTCAGGTTCACAGCTGACTGGTTTGTAGCGATTTAATGTACAATGTCTTTTATATCCTGGGACTACTGGCAAGAGCAGTTTAGAATTTTACAAACATGTTCCTTGCAGTATAGCAAGTTCTGTACAGTCTACACTGGTAAAATGTCAGTATGAATTAGAATTAATAGTCTGCCATTTAATAAGATAATGGCTGATCACCTTCATCTACTGCACTAACAAAGGTCCCAAATTCCACCAGTTACCACATACTTGAATGCATTGCTCCACTGTGTTAGCCTAGCCCTCTGGATTACTACTGGTCTGGTGGCTTCACAATCTGCTGGTGAATCTAGGTAATTATTGAAAAGTTAAATCCATATGTTTGGTGTGGACTGGTTGGACCAAAGGGTGTGTTTCTGTGCTGTATGACTCTATGGGTGGGTCACCTGTTTTAAAAAAAAAAAAAATTTAACTCTGGTAGACAAAGGTATGGCGTAGATGTCTCTTTTTTTTGTTATTGGGCCCTGATGTCCCAACTTCAATTTTGCAGGGATTCTGAAGTTAAGGGCACTCTTTCTCCTTAGAAATTCCATTTACATTCATGTTTGAATCAAAATGGAGGTAGAATCGATAATCCTCCACAAACCTAACCTGAGTATCAGTATCTCTTGACAGCACTACTGATTACCTATTGAAAATTAAGTGAACAGATGGAATGTTTATTGACTGGATTGATTTGTTCTTTGTTTTGTGGATTAACGCAATATCCCATCGTATCCAGTGAGTACCTCTGAGCCACCAAGCATGGGTTCCAATCCCACATCGTCCAGAAGTGTGTAATATCATTAAACAGCTTGATTAAAAATATCTACACAGCCATCTTCTCAATTTCAAATAAAACCTGACTTTGTCCATATTCATCTTTTGAAATGATCACTTATTTTATGAAACCTCCAAGTATTTATTTTAGTCTTATACGAGCAACAATTGAACAGATACCTATTTTTTCAAAAAACCTAAAACTAAAAATCATGACATTGAATCCTGTTTGAGTTTAGAGTCCTGAATCAAATGAGAAATGAACAGGATGTGACTAATGATTTGTATCAAACTCTGTACTTCATAATATATGTATGACACAATACTCCAATTTGTATAGAAATCTCATGTCAATTTTGCACTGACTCTAACATGAGAATAAAACACATTGTGCCTCCCTAATCCAGCACACTTGTCTGGTACCCATTGTATATTCTTGTTCAGTTCTGGCCAATGTAAAATTGCTGTTTAGGTCATGTAGTCCATGTGCACATGCTACATTTTGCAATTATCTAACAAGGTTTATTTAATCTGGAATAATTCAAATCATACTTGTTAGACACTTCGGTAAAATAATCTTTTTGCTGTCAGCTGGGTAAAGCATAAAAACTGAAATGTTTCACAGAAATAAATGCCTCTGGTAGTTAGGCAACTGTCTTTTTACAGCTTCTGCATTGAGGAACATTTATTGTTAAAATGCTTGGCAGCAATAAATTCCACTTGGATCATGAGCAGCATGTTTCACAGCACGTTTCACAGCACAAACTCCTATGCTTGTCACAATACACCACTTCCTGTGCTCAACTGAATAGGGGAAGGTGTGTTGTAATTACAAAACTATTAATCCACAGACCAAGCCTGTTTGGAGGACATAAGCTCACAGCAGGTGGTGAAATTTGAACTCCAATAAAATCTAGTTTAATGATGATGCAACCATGATCAATTATTCTAAAAACCTGAATGTCCCTGAAGGACAGTGAATCAGAAATCTGCTGTTACCTGGTCTGACTGTGTGAGACTCCAGCTCCATGGCCATGTGGTTGACTCTTGATTACCCTCTGAAATCATCCAGCAAGTCAATCATTCCAAGGCAACTAGCATAACTGCATGTCCCATTGAAGATTAAACAAAATTCTCTGGCCTCCCAAAAGCTTGGACCAGAGTCTGCTGGGTAACATAAATACAATCTGTATAATTAACATTTGGTTTCAGTATCACATTTACACCCCAAGATGCAGACATTAATGTTTTTGGAAACATATTTATGTAGTACAAGAATCGGAAAATGGGAGATTTGGATTATTCCTGGATTGGAAAGGATTTACTATGTGACTTTTTAAGAACTCCATTCGAAAAGGTCAAAATGTTTCATTAAAAAATGTGATTGATTGAAAAGGTTGATTTTGGCCAATGATAGCTGGACAAAATTGATATTGGACAGGTCTGTGTGCTGAAAGTTGCTTAGTAACAGCCTATGACTTTGGTACCTCGTCCAGTAAACTTTCAGTTGAAAAATTTACTTAGAGTTGTAAATGGTAAATTGTCTCTTGAAAAACAGCGGATGGAATAAAGCTGGTGGGAGGAAAATGTTTCAGTAAGATTTTAAAACTGAGAAGGAAATCAGATGATAAGCTCTTTTTCAGTAAGAAATTTGTAAAAGGTTGCATTTTAAACAGCAAGACTGCCCTAAAATTTCCCATCTGAATGTGTTATGAAGACCTTCTATTATTTTACAATTGACAGCAACTGATCTCATCGACAGGAAGCCAAGAAGTAAGACAAGTCAATTTGTCATCGTCGTCTTCTTAGTTTGGACCCTTTGGCCTACAACGATGTTTATACAAAGTTTTCAAAACCCATAACACTCTGTCGAACAGTATAATTTGTGTTAAGATGAGGAGGGATAAAGTCTGCCTCGTATCTGAGTTACTAACTCATTTTAGTTTTCGTTTTGCTTTGCCACTGTTTAAAATAATGTTCTCAATAAACAAGTTATTTTGGTTTACTGAAGAAATTGAGTAAGTCATTTATATTCTAGATAGTAAAGTTATTTTGCTGATTAAATAAGACATTTACAGTTTTGGGTACTGTTCATGGAGTGGGAGGGAGGCTTAAATTGCAGCACATTCCTCCCATCAGCGTCATATAAATAGAACATAGAACAGTACAGGCCCTTTGGTCCACAATGTTGTGCCAACCTATTATCCAACTAAGATCAATCTACCCTGCATACCCTACATTATACTATCATCCATGTGCCTATCCAAGAGTCACTTAAAAGTCTCTAAAGTAAATGCCTGCACTAATTCCCAAGTAAGCAGCTTATCTCCATATTCATCCTCTACAGATGATAATCCAATACTTTCTTGAATGCCTTGACTGATCCAGTTCTCTATACCAAGTGCATTCCAGATCTTGACCATATTCTGTGAAAAGGTTTACGTGACGATATCTAATCTTGCCCTACATTAAATTGTGTACAAAGATCACTTTACATTTCTAATTGACTTTTATCTTGCACCTGTTCACCCCTTCCAACATGTCCTCGTGCTTAAGTTCTACACAGTCCTCTTCACTTCACAATACTTCGAAGTTCATCAGCAAACTTTGAAGTTGTGCCCTCTACATGAAGAATCAAACATCCATTAAGCATTATTGCTTAGTGTATTCATGTTGCTATCTTTCCTTTTCTTATTCCATGAGCTACAACGTTGCTCACAGGTTTGTTGTGCAACTATCTTTTTGAAGTCCACATACACATCAACAAATTGCTCATCAATCTTCTTGCATCTACAAACGTTTCAAGTTAAAGCTGATTTTAAAAAAAAAATCCATGCCAGCTTTCCTTAATACATCTGCATTTGCCCTATTAATGTTGTCCCAAATAGCTGTTTCAAAAGATTCCCCACCACCCAAGTTAAAATGACTGTCTTAAGCTAGGGGGAAAGAGTGTTGCGCTCCCCCCACCTCCAATCCCTCTGGGTAATTTATCATGGTTAATCTACCTAACCTGCACATTTTTGGACTGTGCAAGGAAACCAGAGCACCTGATGGAAAACCATGCAGACATAGGTAGAACGTGCACAATGCATACAAGTTTCCCAAGTTGAATTCAAAACAGGTCTCTGGTGCTGTGAAAGCAGCTTTGCTAATCAGAGCCACCATGCCACTTATTGGAAAAACAAGATCTTGCGGGGACTACATAGAATATCTAAAACATGTCATGTCTTGCAGGGGCCATAGTTTAAGAATGAGCTGTTTCCCTTTGAACACAGATGATAATTCCTTCCTTTCTTTCAAAGGGTTAGTAGAATATGCAATTTTACTCCCCCCGAGAAGATAAGGAGATTATCTTTAAATTTATTCAAGCCAAGGAAGATTTTTGATAGACAAGCAAGTCAAGTAATGTTAGTAGAGAATGACACCAGAGCCAGATCAGCCATGATTTTATTGAATAGTGGAGCAGGACTGAATGACCAAATGGCTGACTCAGGCTCCTAAATTCCCATGTTACAGCCACATCACATTTCCAAGTGGCAACCTTCACCTTAACCTTGTGTAGCACACTTGCATTCACATTAAAAAAAATAAATGATTTAAACTTGTATCAGAGATAGTAAGAACTGCAGATGCTGGAGAATCTGAGATAACAAGGTGTAGAGCTGGATGAACACAGCAGGCCAAGCAGCATCATAGGAGCAGGTAGGC